AAGCCCCCCCACCATGAGGTTGGGACAAGTAAGTTCAATAATTGCCATTTCTGGCTCCTCAGGATGCCAAGGCCCTTAGTGCATTAGAGTTGTTTCCCCTTTGTGTTTAGTCAGCCTGAGAGTTAAACGCTGTTGCTCAGTTTAGAATGGTTAATGTAATAATATTAGACAAAGCACCTATTGCTTTCTCTGGATTTCATGACCTGCTTTCTGTAGGGACAACCCATGGAGTGTCTTGGGATGTAGAAATGGTGCTTGTCTAGTTTTGAAGGGGAACTGCTCTTCCTTTTCCCCCCAGTTTTTCACCCGTTAGTCTCTAGAAGTTCCTGTACAGTCTAATTCTTGAGCGGGAACTACTTACCTGATCACGTTGTACTTAATTATGTTGTACTTGATTTTACAGAGGTTAAGGTGTTTTACATGTTTCACTGCTGACACCGGCAGCAGAACTATAAAATAATCAGTTTCCCTTGTGCTACTGAAGGGGAGGAATGGAATTTGGTAAAGAATTGCGTAGTTTGGAAGGCTGCAGCAGATCAAGTGGTGGTTTTTCCAGTGCCTGGGTTTTCCCGGTGGGAAAGGTTGCAGAGGGACTGGGACCATAGTGGTTCTGTTGAGGTGAAAGAGGAAGCAGGTTGAGCCTACCGTGGTAAGTGCCATCCAAGGTGCTTGCATCTGGGGCTGATACTGCATCACAGAACTTAAAGTTTACGAAGTTGCTCCTGGTTTTAAGCTGCCAGCAGAGAGGGCTTCTGCCGTTCTGGCCGACCCATGATTAGGACAAATAGAGACTCACAATGTGGTCTCCCAGTGTTTCTGCTGAAGGACAAGATAAATTCAAGCCCTAAATACATGCTGTTTAACTGTTTAAAACCAGTTCTTCAAGGTTTTTCTGTTTTAAGTGTAAACATAAAGAGATTTTGTACAGGCACTCAATAATTTATCACATCAATAATCAGAGTCAGACCTAATGTTTTACAAATAATTTTTTTATCTTTGATCCCAATCCTGTCAATCCTCTTAAAGTATAAATTATTAAAGTAACTTTTTGATTCTTTGAAAACCTATCTGCAAAGATAGTATTTCTCTTCTGCTTCTCAAATAGGGCAGTACTCTTCTTACGATTTATTTCAGCTTGTTTGATCAATAAAATATAATTAAACTTTTAAAGTGCAGCCGAGGCAGTACCTTTCAGATAGGTAGGCAGATGATAGCACTCTTCAGAATTTTCACTTCTTGGGACCTGAAAGTTTTCAATGACAAGGTTTAGGTGCTTTTATGTTTGTAAAAAAACAATCTTGTGCTAGTGACACATATGCCAATATCAGAATAATATCGCTGAACGTTTTTTCCCTCAAGGTTTTTGGAACTTACATACAAGTTCTAACTTTCTAGAAACTCTATTGCAATATCTGAAACTTTTAAATAGAATACAGTTTATTTGTAACAAAAATATTCTAACAGCCTTCCTTTGCATGTGGTCACATACGCTGCAGATCTTTATGAAATGCTGATTGAAGCATGGTTTGCTATTAAAGCTTACAAATGTGTAATTAAGAATTAATATGCAGGTGGGCTTTGTTGTATTGTTCTCTAAGTTCTTGGCAGATTGGAAATGTGCTTACTTTGGGGGTGGTAATCTGTGATCCTTCATGTTTTTCATATGGGATAGTGTCACTCAAACAACTGCTTTAGTAGCATTTGATGCCTCCAAGGATGTGATGTGTTGAAGCTGGTTCCTGCCACAAGCCATGGAAGGGTTCCTGCAACCAGTCACCGGTTCCTGATGGTCTTGTGCAGCTCTGGTGTAGCAGAGATCTGGCAAGAGCACCTGAATGAACAACCTGGCCTTAGTTACATCTTTAAAAAATACAGAAACTCAAATTCAAGGGGAGAGATCGGTTAATATTATAGCTTGGAGCCCTGCTCTGCTCCAGCTCCGTTTTTGTTGTTAACCTTGATGGTGTTTTTATCATAGCTCTAGGAAAAGTTCAGAATTACATTGCTGAAGTAATGTTAAAGACTTGAAGCATATATTTGTTATCAAAAATGTCTAAATTTAACAAATGTATTATTTAAAAGCAAGCAACTTTTCTCAAATTACACATTTCTTCATGTTTTACTTTTCAGTGTGTGGGTCCTTCCTGCTGTAAATGCAGAATTTTGGTGAAAAACTACAAGATGACCATGTTATCAAACTTAAAACACATTAAGATCATCACCTAAAAGTCAGAAACAAGTTCAACCTTTTTTGACAAACGACAGGTGATAGAAGTCTCTTGATAAAAATAAGATAATTTTTTTTTGTTTGATCTTAGTTTTCTCTTTGGGTTTTGCATTTCAGTATGTATCTAAGTGTGTTGTTAAGTGTGTATGTCCTATTGCAATGATCAGGTGGTGCAATTAAGTCCAGAACCTCTTGCTCAAAGCTGGGTCAACGTTAAATTCAGACAAGGTGGCTTAGGGCCTTGTCTGGCAGAGTCTTGGAAACCTGGAAGTGGGAGAGTCTACAACTATTTTGTGCAAAGCGTTCCAGTAATAATTTATCTTCATAATGAAGAATTCTTCCCTATATCCAGTCAGAACCACTGCTGTTTCAGTTAATGAATTCATTTCTCATTCTTCTTCCAGGCTTCCTCAATAAAGAGTCTGACTCCATCTTCTCAATAACCTCTCCCCTAAGCCTTCTCTTCTCCAAGATCAGGAACCCTCAGGTTCTCCTCATGCAGGTCATGTGTTCCAGCCCCAATAACCTTCTTGGTGACTTTTCTCTGGACTCGGGTTTTTCCAAGTTTTTATTGTGCCAGGCAACCCAAAACTGAGTGTGTTATTCTAGATGTGGGCTGAGTGAAGAGCAGTTGTCGCCTCCCTGTGTGGTTCCTGTTGATCCCGTTTTGCTGTTGATACACCCCCTGTGCCATTAGTCTTTGTTATTACCAGGATGTGGTGCTGGATGGAGAGGAGGCTGATGAAGAGGATGTAGGACAAGGATCTTTAGGAACCAGGCATCTTGGGGAATGGTCCTTTGATTATGGATGGATTTCTGGAGTTGAATAGGCAGAACAAGCCATATAATGGTTGAATTTGCTTAGAACAAAGCCTTTAAAATTAGGAAAACCTTTATTGTGAAAAAAACCAAATTGGTGATAGTTCCTCGTTATGAAAGGATTGTGTGTGTTCAGGGAAACTGGGAGCTCTAGTTTCACTGCTGAAATTCAACAAATTATTATTTTAACAATTATTCATTCCTACCCTTACCTAGAGTACTCGGCAGAATTTTCCATCTCAAACCTCTTCTCTGGATACTAGTTAATTAAATTTCACTTCTTACTCGCATTTTATCTTTCAGACTGGGGTTTTTTGGTTGATAGCTTTGCTTACACATGTTTGCATAATAAAACGGTGCATGCTCAAATAGGTCTTGATATTGCAAGTCTGACTTGCAGAAATAGCTCCTGCCAATATGAATAGTCCCAGGGACTTCAAGGACTTAATTTGCATGAGTAACAGTTGCAGCGTTGGGATCTTAATGCGTGTGTCTGCTTTCCATTATACGTTCAGCTTTCAGCAACTTCGGCGGAGTTCCATCTCTATTACAGAGGGCATCAAGAAATATTTAATTTTTTTTTAGCTATAAAGCAAAAATCAGTTAAAAAGCGTGTATGCATACTGCTAAAATCCTTAAGGTAACGTGTACAATATGGAGTCAGTGATGGCTTAAGTTAGTTTATGAGATAACAACTTCAAAGAATCATTAAAAAAATTAATATCAGAAATATATGACACAGAGAATTCAGCTCTGGGAAGTGTGGGAATGATGTACTGTAGTGATGTAATAAAATATACATTGAAATAGACACTGCAGATAAAAAAAAAAAAATTAAAAAAGGCAGAGCTGGGGCACGGGAGAGCTGGAGGAGACAGACATTGTCCCTGTCACAGGCCGGGCACACAGACTGTCAGACATGTGTATTTCTGGTAGTGTTTTGCATACTCCTTAGTATTTCCAAATGTTTTTAAGTCTTGGGTTCATCCAATGAAAAACTGATGCCATGTAATCAGAGTATTTTTTATGGTGGAGCAAGTGCAATAATCCACACAACATGCAACTGCTGATTTATTTTTTTTTGTATATGTAAAACATATATGTGTGTGTGTGCCCACACACTGAGTTTTCTGTCCAGAAAACAGTCAAACTGGGACAAGTCATACATGTGTCTTTGTAGGACCTTAGATGAGTATGTATATTCGTGTATCTACAAATTTATATTCAACACTTTGTAATTATTTTGATGAATATCGGAGTTCTTAAGTGTTACCCATATTCTTGTTTCTGTAGTTTAGGTAGTTTTTTTAATATATCAGTTCAATAGATGGCAGAGTGTTTGCTTTTTGTATAAACTCAGCACAAAGTATCCAAATTCCAAATAACTAAGAATAGGTCTTTTAGCAGTAGTTGGGGGACAACTGGTGGTTTTAAATAACTGTTGTTGATATGACTTTATTTCCTCATATTCAATTAATAGTGTGATGTGTTTTTCTTTCCTAAAGAATTCTAATTATCAGTAATATGCCAATAGTGTAGGCTAAAGTGTGCAACGGTGTCTTTGGCCAGAGCCTCACCCCACCCACACTGGGGTTAACCTGCACTAGTGCTTCTGGAAATAAAGGAATTGCTCTTGTTTGTGTAAAACAACTGAGAACTCGGAATTGTCTCATGCTCTGTTATGCTCCATTTTAATATACTAGGATAAACTGCAGTGAAGTTTTTAAATTCTAAGTGGTTAAAAAAAAAGCTCTGATTTCTCTTCGAAACCTTAAAGTGTAGTCACACCCCTTCTCAAGATGTCACGAATGTAGCACCGAAGCTGTGTAAATACACCACCATGGGGTTTTCTGTTCAGAAAAATGGAGTTATGACTTCATCTTCTTTAGAAGTTTGGGGTTGTTTTGTGGGGGGTAAGCTAATTCTCTTTTATTTTGTTTTTTCTTCACTTTAGCTAAAAAACTAGGAATTACTGACGTGCCAGCTGAGGTGGTTACTTATATTTCTCACGCAACACAAAGCAGATTAAGAACGGTGATAGAAAAGGTGACGGTGATAACCCAGCACCGCATGGAGTCGTACAAGGTAGGTGTCCAGAGAAGGTGGTGTCAGCATTTCTGTGTAGAAATGTATGTTTTCATAGAAATGGATGTTTTCATCCACCTGTGCTCAAGTGCCTTGGATGGAACTTCTGTTAAACTGTCTCTGCTCACCCCTGGATTGCGACCAAGACTCTTCATTCCCCGTGTCTCCTTTTTTTGACCAAGGTAACCATCGATTGGATCAAAGTTGCTCCAATGGATAGGAATCTCCAGTAACTGTAGATTAGGGCAGGGCATGTCACTGACTCTAGGAACGTGTCCTTGGCTGTAACAAATACTAAGGTTCTACAGAAGCTACCAATTTGTCTTAAACCAGCAACTGAAGAATTCAGCTGTAAATTCTTCCCCCTAATTGAACAATGATGTTCTCCTTAAAAAGAACATTTTGAGATAAAATGCTGCTCCAATTCCATTGTTAGTGGTTTAGGGTTTTTTTTCTTTTCTATTGTTAGTACAGTGGAAAGATTTTAATGTGTAACACCTATATTCTTCTTTAAATGCGTAATCTTGATGAAAATGCATGTTTTCATAAAACATTGTTTTACAGGATGATGAGTGGTACGAACAAGCTACAGACGTCCGGTCCCAGTTGAAGTTTTTTGAACAGTTGGAGCGTTTGGAAAAGCAAAGGAAAGATGAACAGGAGAGGGAAATCTTGCTAAAGGCTGCCAAGGTATCTGCTTTACTCTGTTGTTTTTTTTAAAACTACTTAACAATTCATAGTCTTTAAACAATTGTTTAATTTCTTGAAATCTGTTTTATAAACACATTTTGTTCTTATAACAAAAACATACTGTTGTGACATCACACTTTTAATTCATTAAGTCCTGCTTTCTTAGCTCTGGTGGCTCCGGACCCGCCTGACTGGAAGCTCCTGCATTTTCAAGATACAGCTCTGAATCCAAGGAGATCTTGGCAATGCAGGAGACCATGGCTAACCCTTCCAAAATAACTTGGTGAAATAATTTTCACAATTGTCTTCAAAATTTAATAGGTGCCAGGGTTTCTGTGCCATTTGAAAATCACAGCCCATGCTTCTGGTGTTTAAACACGATTCAGTAAATTGTTACTCATTTTCTGATGCTTTATACTTTACTACTTGAGGTTTTTGAGGCTTTTTACTTCTTGAGTTTCTAGACTTTTCTTTAAAAGAAAAATTTCGTTTATTTGTTTATTTTAATTTAAATATTACATGTTCGGGTCCCTTCTGTATAACTGCGTTATTTAATTGATTCATACCTGGCTGTGGCTAACTCTCAGTTAGTGCAGTAGGATGTGATTGCAGAATCTGTAAGCACCCAGATGGGTTGGTTTTGCTTCAGGAAATGTTTTAGGGAGAATGAGAGAGAAAATCAGATGGGGAGACAGAATTTTAAAACGTTAGGTTTCAAAAAAATATTTTAAATTTCTGACATTCTGAGGAAAGTCCCTATCCAAGCTAAAAATAATTGTGAAGCTACGCAAGTGTCTTTAAAGCAAAACAGCAGTGTTATTTGGCTTGATAAATGAGAGAATATTACAAAATCTTACCTGGGAAACACTTGACAAATAGAAACTTCATACCATGGGCTTAAAAGAATAATGCCTGATGTTTGCATTCCAGTGACACATTTTGGGGGAAGACAAAATTTGGGTTATCTCCTTGATATGTGAATGTATAGTGGCACGGGCCCTGTGTAGAAACACAGGCGTAGAGTGGGGTCTCTTTAAAGGAGGTATTTGGGAGAGTCACCCCTGTGGTTCCCAGTAAGGCCCCACTGGTTCCACCTGCACGGGAGCAGAGATCTTCCCAGTCTGTGGTGGGAGGTGATGGGAATGGCAGGAAGAGCTGAGGAAAGTCTGCAGAAAGGTCAAAAGCCAAACTGAAATCACTGGAGGAACTTACGTTTACATTTGACGTGGTGTGTGTTGTGTTTTGTTTGAAAAAAAACAACCACCCAATAAACCAAAGCAAGAAAGCACAGGTCTGTCTGTAGTAAACCTTGTGGTCCTCGCTGCTTTCATAGCTATTTCCAAAGCCTGGCAAGTGCTGTTGGTGTGTGTCAAATTGAATGAGGTTCTGGGTCTGGGCTAATAACAGAAATATTTCTGGCAGCAGAAGCAATAGGAGTTTGTAGCTGATTCTTTTTCTTTTGTTTGGTTTTATTTCTGTATTGTGCTTTCTGCACCAAGAGGTGCAGCTTGGGGTTGCCCTTGTTTTCAGAAAATCAATGATTAGTACTTCTATGATATAATCTATAATAAAGTGCATCTTTACTAATTACTGTGTTAAATCATCTGCTCAAACTGACTAAATGTATGTTTATTTTCTCATCAAATTCAATTTGAAAATTAATTTCCAATATATACCTTCTATTAGGCTATTATTTTGAGTTGTCCCACTAGACAAACCTCTCTAGTTTTTGGGGTCTTAAATTCAAGTAAGATTTGTTCTGTAAAAAGAATAATTACTTAAGTGAAAGGAGAACTATGTTAGGTGGTGTTTGTAAAGTTAATTAACATTTCTGGGTGACAGTGATTGTTATAGTGCTATAGGCTGAAGGGCTGTGTTATTGGGGAGAGATAGCTGGAGTTTGGGAATGCGGATTTCCCGGTCACGCCGATTCCCCGCTCCCCTCCCTTCTGAGCCTCCCCGGGATGGAGGGCAGCTTCCTGCATGGACAGTTATACCTCACTTCTGAGGAGAGGAGAGCAAAGAGGGGGTTACTGCATTGAAATAATTTTCTGAATTTTTTAGAAATCTGTTATTTCAATTTTAATGATTTTTGAATAAATCTTTTTTAGACCTGTACTCTCGCATTCCACCTCGCTGTGGTCGTAGCTCTGAATAGGGTTTTACCCTCAGCTATGCTGCTTTTAACTTTCACTTTTTATTAACAAAGCTAATGTGAAAGCAAAGTGTTTCATGTTGCCAATTTAATTTCTTTAATTAAAAGTGAAAGTTATAAGCTGGTACAGCCGTGGGTGAAGTTCTAATGTCATCAATGGGGAAAAATAGGTTTAAAATTGAAACTGTTGGCACAGCAGTGGCTCTCAATAGTACAGCACCTGCAGTTGTGACTCTTAACTTTATTTAATGAAAAAAGATTAATTTGAAGCATTAAAGGACTCCCAGTGTACGTACTGGGAAGGGGGAGTAAGAGCTGTAAGTGCCATAACTGGGGTCAGATGTTGCTAAATGCCAGAGTCTTATTTGGGAGGAGAGACCCTGTGAGACATTTCGTAACACAGGTTTAACAAGCAGAGACTTCAAAATTATTATAGATCTAACAGAAAACTTTTTTTGTTAGTGGGACAAAATGTAACAACGGTGCAGCTTTGACATTGCAAATTACACCAAAATACTGGATAGTGATGGTAATGAAATGCATCGGAGGGACTGTTAGTCTGCCCATCTGCATACGGGCTATCTTCCAATTTTAGAAGTAATTTTTGGATGTATTTAAGTATTACTTGAGTTATAGATATCCTTATTTTACAAATACTGTTGCTTTCTAGTTTTATGAAATACAAAATCCCCTTCTTAACACTGGACTATTAATGTGTAATTAGATGTCTGGCTGTGGCATTCTTCCTTAACGCGGGCGAGGGGAAAAGCTGAGGTTTGGAACATTAGGGAGTTTGGTAACATGGAAATGAAACCCCGTATTTCTAATGTGTTTTGAATACACACATTTACCATATGCTGCTTTTCATACTTTGAAAGTCTAATATTTCCATAGGCCTGATGTGATCTGTGCAGTTTTCAGATAAATAAGATAGCAGGTCCTCTAACACAAAGCACTTTCATTCTTAACAATTAAAATATCAGGCTGTCTGGTCTAATAAAAGTAGCTTGTGTTTGGGAGAAACGTTAACAGACCTGGGTTGGTGAATAAATTCTCAGTCGCAGACAGCATTTAATGTATTCAAAAGTATGTTATCTGGTTAGGATCAGTCCTAGGTTTCTCTGAAATTACTATGGGAAGCTGCCTTGCTGCTGAAGGTGTTTATTCATCAACATGAAAATATATTACGTAAACCCAGCTCCCTTTATTTACAGATCTAGACCTGAGGAGTGGAGAGGGGAAGGGAGAGGAGTGGTGATAAACTCCCTGAGTTGGGGGTTCTGGGAATGGTGGGGATTTCCGAAGCTTTAGAGGAAGGAGGAATCTGCAAATTATAAGATTTTGGAAAAACATGTATCACCCAAGAGGTGAGATACAGCATATTAAGACTGGGCTGTCAGAGGGAAAGGAGGAGGGAAGGCAAACCCAAAAATAGGAGATGACTTCAAAGAAAAAATATAAACCAAAATTTAAAAAATCTAGAAATGCTTAGTCGAAGCATTGAATTGCTTTGATGAAACTAAGTGTAAGATATTAAAATAATTGGTGAGTAAAAATGGTGACAGCTAGACAAGCCCTACAAGAGCTGAGCAGCAGGGAATTGCTCAGCCCCTTCGGAGGCAGGGGCAGGTGTTCACGTGTGGAACGGAGTGTGAAGAGCAGCCAGTGACATTTTTAAAGCCCATCGAGGCCCCTCTGTGAAGCTTGACATTTTCGGTTGTTTGTATTTGCTGTAATCTGTGTGGCTCAGCATTGAAGAAGCCTGTTATCATTTATATTACATCATAAAGAGAAGTATTTATAAAATAGTCAATGTTTATACTTTTTCCTTTAACATGTTTTAGTCTCTATATGCTGATGATTTCACTTCTGAAGCTTACTGATCTGTAGATGGACGTGTGGCAGTCGGCAGGGAGGTGTTTTAGTCCTAACAATCTGTTTAAAAAAAAGTCTATTAAAACAGAATGGTGTTGCTTATCCTAGTAACACCACATTCAATGTAAAGCTGGAATTTACCTGTTTGAAACAAGAGCCGCCCTGGGCTCTCTGGAAAGGCCATTTGAGGTGTGTTCAATCAAAACCTCATTGCATTATTCTAAATGTAAAAGTAGTTCTAGCTTTACCTTCAGTCTGGGTTTATATCTGTAGTATCACCTGGTATTTTAAATCTTCATTACTGAAAAAAAATTCCTGTGTTTAATATGAGTCAGGAGCTGAGTGCCTGATTTCACCTCTGCAATAATTTTTATTATTTATTTATAGTGAATGAGCTGGAGGTTTACACAGAGTAGATCATCTGCTTTTTTGCCTACTTTTTGGGTCTGCTATTTCAGATTATCCTGAAGTCCAGAATTACTTTTATTTGATCAGTTTCTGAGGGAAAAAAAAAAAAACCCCAACTTCTAAATGTGTTATTTTTTTAAATCTGTAGCACTTTCAGAGTTTTCCCTTCACTTAAGGATGCCAGGAAGTTGCAGTGTTACTGTGCATCTAGTGCTCTAATTTTTCTTAACAGATCTACATCGTGTTTGGGGTTATTGTTATGTTTTCCAGGGTTCTCTCACTTTCCTGTAGAACCTTGGTGTCAATATGAGAAGCCTGGGTGTGACTCTCCCAGGACACATTTGGCAAAAAGAAAAGAAAAGAGGCGGAGAGGGATTGGTAGGAGGGGGCATGGGTATCCTTATTCCTTTGGGAGCTGTGGGAATGAGACCGCTTCTGATCTCAAAGAAACCCCCAAATAAAACAATTCCATCTCTTAGGTGTTGAGGACAACTATTTTCCCTGGATGTCGCAAGTTTTATTGAAGCTTCTTACAACTTTTTATGCAACCTTTTCTGCACACTGGCCAGTCATGCAATTAAAACGTATAATGCATGTATTATCAGCCTCTCAAGGCTTGAATTCCATCAGGTTGAGGATGCTTATGAGCATAAATAAGAATTTAATAATTTTAGCATATGGTTGTAAACCAGTCTGTGTCTGAAGAGATGTACTATTACGGGTTGTTATTGAAATTAAACAGTGATTTTTAATGGGGTTTTAGAGCTATTGTTCCTGGTTTTGAAGGAAAAGATGGAAGTCGCCATTTGGCAGTATTTCTCCAGTTTTAAAAATGACAACATTAATATTATTAGTAGTGCTTGACTGAGTTAGAGTTTTGTGTATTTCTGTGCTGTACTCCCAGTAAGCTCATACAGATTGTAACATCTTTATTATGAAGTTCTGCTTTTCCAGAGGGTGCTTTACAGCTGCTTTCTGCACATTCTCTACCAAGAGCTGAATAAAAGCTTGGTTGCAAACAGTGAATTATTGTAAAATAAGTGACTCTAAGGAATTTAAATTTAAAAGTTCAGATAATGGAAAGGGTGTCACTTCTGCTCTCGGATGCTTGAATTTGTTTGTAGCAAACAATTGAAATCTAAACCTGTATGGAGACTTTAGGACTGACAAAAACATGGGTTTGGTTTTTTTTTTTTATTTTAATTTAAATCTGGGATAGATGTTATTTACAACTGAATATTTAACAGTCTTTTGGGTGAGGCCTACGGGTTTGAAATTGCACTTCTATGAATTGAAGCATCCCATCTTGACACCTTGTATCCTGTTCCCCTTTCTTTGCTATTTTTTAACTTACTGCAACAGATGAGGGGTTCTTAAACCATCTGTTAACCTTTTTTCCCCATTTTTTTTAAACGTGTAGAGTCGCTCAAGGCAAGAAGACCCAGAGCAAGCCAGACTGAAACAAAAAGCAAAGGAGGTAAGCAGAGCTAGAGATCATTACACTTGACATTTCAAGGCTTGAACATATTAATTTTTTATGCCTTGCTACTTGTATATCGTTAATAAAAATCTGACTAAAAACTTTTTAGGATGTATTTGTTGCTTTGCCTTTGATCTTAATGTTTGCAAACTAATACATTAATACATGTGAAGCCTAAGGAGATTTTATAAGAGAATATTTCCATACATTACATTTTCATTTCCATTTTAGGTAGCTGTAGCTTTTGTTGGGTTGTTGATGACAGCAGCACTAGATTTTGGTGGAAAATGTATGCCTTTGTCTTTTTGTAAAATGTCACTTTCTAAGAAATGTGCTACTTAACAATTTTGTTCTGCTAAGAGTCTTTCAAGTAATGTAATTGCCAGTCATTTTCTCTGCGGTGTGGTTCAGTGCACTATTTACTCATCAGTCTAAATTACAAGAATCTAAAAATTATTAAATGATTTCAGATGAAGTTTTGATATGTTATTCTAAGAGTAACAATTTGTGAGCTACTGAGTGCCTTAATTTGCTGTAAATGAGTGACTGTCCTTTGCTTAAGGCATCTTATGGCTTAAGATCAGGTTGTAACTTAAATCAACTAGAAAGACTAAAATATCTATCAGTTGAAAGTCATTCCTGTTTAAAAAAAATGAGTGACATTGTTTGCAGCAAACTGATGCTGGTTTTTTAGCCAACTTCTTTGGATTCTATGTATTAGACGGTAATAATTATACACTAGATGATGTAATATATACAGAAAAATGCATATAGCAAGTTCTTTTGTATTGACCGGTTCTTCCAGTTTGTTTCCCTGCGAGCAGTGTTCTGTAGTTCCGTTAGCTATACAGATTTTATATATATAACAGTCAAAAAAAATCCAAGTACGTGGTTGAGTTTTATTTGATTTCTTTTTTCATCATGTGATTATGTAGTAAGATTTGCTGGAATGAGTTCTTGTAAACATTAGACCAGGCCTTAGTGTTTCCAGGGTTGGGTTTGTCGAGCAAGTATTCAAATGAAAGAGAGTAATCAAGTTATTTGGCAGGAAAAGAGCCGGAATATTAATACTACTCGAGTTTAATACGTAGCCAGTGTATGCAAAGGAAGAATCAGATTTGTGAAAATAATTAATGGCAGGCAAAACTCGCCGTCGAGCTGAGAACCGAAGCTACCACGCTGCTGGGAGACAAAGCAGGCTGGAAATCAGCGCCTTTCTTCCTGCCACACTATTTGCATTCATTGGCATTCTTTTTTTTGGCCATTGGAAACTTGAGGAAGCGAAAGTAAACAACGGGGCCAGTAAGGACACATTTTCTGGTAGTCGGAGTGAAATAGTGGTTCTCTGGGTAGCTGGGATAGAAGAGTGGTGCTCCAGCCAGCGGTGGGAATTCGGGGTCTACTGGAACCTGTGTCTCTCACCCACTGGAGGGAGAGAGGCTGTGCAGGCAAGGGAATAAAGGAGAGGGGATGGAGTGCATTCCCAGTAATGGGAACAGGGGGGTTAGTAAAGAGGCAGCAAGTATTTTGGTGGTCACCTACATTAAAAATGCTTAGATCAAACTGGAGTGTGATTGTAAGGCAGCGGAGTGCCCGGGTACGGTAATGCCTTTGGGTAAGGGCAGAATGAGTCCCGGGTTCCCTCTCTGGGTGCTTGGGTAAGGGCAGAATGAGTCCCGGGTTCCCTCTCTGGGTACCCGAGCCCTGCCTTTTGGTACCTGAGCCCTGCCTTTTGGTACCCAAGCCCTGCCTTCTTTCCCACCCTTCTAATGAGATGCAGGATGTGCTGGCACCGTGCCTCGCTCTCAACTTGGCTTTCCTTCTACATATTTGAAACCATAAGAAATATAAGCATGTCTCTTTTTGGTAATTAGGCTTCTAAAGCTCTTTCTTCAGCTAGTTTAGAGACTTTCGCCTGAAATATTCAAATATATTTAATAAAAACATATTCTTTTGCGTTAGCTTTTGCGAAGGGGAGGGGGAAAGTGGGACTGGCAAGATTTTAGTTTAATATTCTTCTTTTTTTTTTTTTTTTTTCTGTGGTGGATGCTGTATATATGCTGGGAGGTGGGACTGGCAAGATTTTAGTTTAATATTCTTTTTTTTTATTTTCTGCGGTGGATGCTGAATATGTGCTAATGTCTCAAATTCTATTGGCACTGCCAAAATAAAAAATAACCAATTTTGTAGCACAGTAGGTCAATTAGATAGAGTGTCTTTGGCATGGCTTTGTTATTTGAAATTAGAAGCTTTGAATCAAGTCCCACAAAAATGTAAAGATTTCAAAACTCCACTGCCAAGTGGGCTACACTTAAATGTGCCTATGACCCACAACTGAGAGAGAAGTTGGATTTCTTCCAGGTTTTGCATAAACTGATGGATATAATCCTGTCAGATTTGATAATGAACTGGATTTGAAGCGGTGTTTCCGTGATTTCCGTGTCTTGAATATTGCCTGAAGACCTTTATTGCTCAGATGTTCTTCTGGCCAGTGGTGAAGTAGCTACAAGGGAGTGATTTAAAAAGCAGAAAGAGGGCATCCAAAAAACGTGCAGCATTTTTTAGCTCGTGTTACTGGGTTAATGATACAATATCAGACAGTTTGTTCTTTCATATCAGAAAAGCAGCTGATAATTTCATCGTTATGTTCTGCATATGGATAATGCTTCAGCCTTGTCTTGGCATCCAAAATAAAGATACCAACAGAAGGATTATGGGATGAAGAGGGAAGAAAGAAGACTAGCAAAGGATATTTATTCCAAAACATTCTTCTTCAGGGCCGTTTTGGAGTCTTTCATTCCATAACATTCTGGTTTTCTTCCTAATTTAAAAATTAAAAAAAATAGTTGAATTTTTTTCACAGAACTTCCAGCATTAAGAAGTCCCCTTCTTGCTTATTGGTGTCATCAAGAAAATGTACAGGGAGATCACTGTGTCCTTTGAACACCTTTAAAAATGAGTTTAGTACAGTGAAGATTATTTTATCTCTTGTTCTGTAACTCCATTTGTCAGTCTTGAAACTGCTGTGCATGTTACTGAAACCAAAGTGGCATAAATCAAGTTTAAATTGCGTTTAAATACTCCCCCAAAGACACAGAAGGTCCATGTGGGTATGGCCTTACTGGGGAGAGGAGACAGGACAGGAGGTTTCGTTCACACCCAGAGCAGCCTGTTCCAGTGCAGTCGGCGCAGAGCCCTCCTGGTTCGCTGTGACTGACGGACTTTGCTTTAGCATTAACCTGTTTCAGACAGACTGGAGTGCGAGCAGTGGAGAGTGTGCCTGGGGGTTTATATTGCTCAAAACTCTCTCTTTACTTTCATATTTGGAAACTGGTGCAGCTTTTTGTCAGTGGGAATTATATGGTGGTTTTAATGGTAAACCTATTTAATAAACCAGTGAAAAATATTTTCCATTGAGCCTATGTCAGGGAAAAATGTTACTCCTTACATTGTTTTGTAACATAAATTCCAAAATGTTTGACTCTCAGTAGAATTTAAGGTAAGAAATAGCATCGTTTATGAGCAGTGTCGGCTCCGTATTGTGTGATTAAAGCTTTTAAAGTCAATTTTTAGAACAGATTGATGTAGTCTGTTGGAAGCAGGGGAAGTCACAAATATAAGTTAAAGAAATCATGAGTTCTCTAATTTCCATTGAAAGGGTTCATAAAATAGGACATAAAACAGGCCATATAACTGATTGTGGGAATAAATCGAGGTTAGGAATAATTAAATCAACACTTGGTAATTAATAATAGAAATGATTTGAAAGAAAGGTGGGGAAGGTAAGATCCTAAACGTCCTTGCTGTCACAGGTGTTTTTCTACATTCGGTGTCTGTTGGCTAAAAATCTTTTAATTTAAAAGTCAAGTAGCTGAGTGTGATCCTGAAAGATTAACTTGGTTAAAATCTCTGTGTCATCACCAACCAAGAATATTGCATAATAATAAAAGCTTAAACCAAACACCCTAAATGTCTGGGTGTGTATCCAGGGCCTGGAGCAGCTGAGATAACGCTGGGTTGAACCCGTGCTCAGGAGTCCTCCTTAACCACGCAAGGGAGAGCTCAGCCCTGTTGATAGTCCTCAGAGAAGCATTACCTGTTTCAAGGGAAGCCAGCAGACTGCCCTTTTCAGACCTCTGTTGGTGGGATAAAGTCCTTTATCCATCTTCTTAGGGTGTGCTCAAGTCCTTTCACAGTGGTCTGTATTTGGGGGGCTGCTGACGTGACTGTTTGCTGGCCAGGAGCTTTGGGAGCCCCCGGTTGTGGCCCAGGAGAGTAGGGGAGGTGCTGTCCCTGCTCCCCGCTGGACCAATTAGATTATGAAAAGAATTTTACTCTAAATAATTTCTTGTCACCACGTTAATATTTATTTATCAACTCGGTAGGAGTAGTTTCTTTTAAAATATTCCAATAATAGTTTATTGCAGTTATTGCTGCTTTCATAAGGTGTTACTGAAAATGAAAAACAAGTGAATAGGACTTTGTTTTGTTTGGTAAGTTCATATATTCACCTTTTTAGCAAAGCCAAAGTCCTTAAAGACCGTGCTGCTAATGCAGTATCTCTCGTGACGAGGAATCTAAAGAAGTTTTCTATGTTATCACGCCTGACATAAAAATATCGATTCAAAAGCAATAATCTTCTCTTAAAAAGGTTTCTTCTAAAACATTCCACTGAGAAATGGAGCACTTGAACAGAAATAAGTTTAAATTAAATTTCCAGTTAGCTCTCTCCCCCGCGTGAGGATCGGTAGGTGGAAGGAAGGCGAAGCCAGGAACGCCATACCCCATTAGTGCTGGTGTGACGTTTGGGCAGTGATGACTCCTCAGAACAGAGTCCTTTCGTAAGTAGTTTTGGACATCAGGTCACGGGCTCTGGTGGCTGCACAGCAGGGACACCGGCGCTCTGTCGGTGTGTGCAGAGGGGGGGTAACAGAGTCGCTGTGTTTGCACCCCCCCGTACCACGGGTCTGGTGTTTGTACCCAGAAAAACGCTTCAG